GCACATGCCGTCACGTGAGGGCCATCAGCCTGGAGACCTGTACCTGACTTTAGCTCAATGCTGGTCCTACTACACAAAGCTGCCCCAACGGCTGGTCAGGATTCTCTTTCTTCAAATGCAACACAGGAGGTAGAAATATGGGAAAAGGTATAGTGTGAGGAATGTATATGCCGAAATTTGATCGTTAGATTTGAAAACTGGGTACCTAAGATAACTTTCAAAGAGTTTGCCAGTAAGCATCAACTCTGTATTTTCAGTACTAAGAACAAGATAATATTGACTTATTTTTACTGTGTACTGATTATATTTTTATGGTGCACATGGTTAAAATCTATTAAGACATGCTTGTATTTTTATTGGGAAGGGATCTTCTACCCTGATAGTTAAGTCATACTTTTATAGTACTGAAGGTATGTATCTTCGCTAATATTTAAAGGTCTGATAGTGCAAAGGTAAAATTCATATTTTTCCACAATCTATAATGGATAAACAGTTGAGATTACAGGAAACTAAGGAGATGTCAGAGGACAAATATGATTCCAATGTATTCATTTTAAAAAGAGTTCTTTCTAAACTAGGGATTAATTAGGTTTATTCTTGACTGTCACATATATAAGAGTAGTCTTCAAAATGTGTAAGTATATTGAGAAGTAAGATGGAAAGGATCTGGAAATATCAGGATTTTCTACTTACTTGAAGTATCTTGGGCCTGTTGATTTCTTCTAAGATTTTCTCTCAATACCCTTATAAATTCTTTTTGATGTTCTACGGCGGCTTTTGTAGAAGTAATTCTGTTAAGAACAACAACAGGAATATGTAAAATGCCTGCAACTAACTTTTAATGAAGAATAAACAGAACCGCTGTCAAGAATTTCCTGATAAGATACATCACATTGACATAATATGCATAAGCAGCAGCTGATCAGCTCCCAGGATACGGCCCTGGTATCACGCACTTTAAAGCTATACGTAACACCACCACATTGTGAGTGTTCTGTTTGGTTGCAGGGGCAATTTTTTTTAACATTGAGAAACCAATTCTTTTTAAATTTCTGAAAGCCCAATAGCTATTAATTGGATATTGAGCAAAATTACATTTGGGGGCACCATAAAACAAATAACTGGGTTGTTACCATGAGGTCCTAGAAACATCTTGAAGCTACAGCAATTACCAGAGCGTAAAAGCGAAAAGCAGCTTCCTGTCTACACTGTCAGGCAAGCAACCCCCGGCTGCAGCTCTGATCTGAGGTGACACAGTCAGAGGCCAAATTCTGCTCCTTGTGCCCAGTAGAGAAAGACATTTTGTGAATTGTTTGCTTTAGCATTAATCAGTAATGCTAAATTATGAGACCTTCTGCCTTTCTTAGAGACTGAAAGAATCTGCTGATTCTACCCTATAAGTAAAACTGCTTTTTACAATGATGAATTTAATAAGTATAAGCTCCACTAAAACCAACAGTCCTATCGACAGAAGGCTGGTGAGAATGCATGAAGATTCAGAGTGCTATGTTTTGGGCAAAATTAGATATCATCATTAAATATTCATTAAACACTTACAGGAAGAATAAAAAGTGTTAGAAGTCAGAGGGGATCTTAACAAATCCTCTAATACAAACCTATCCTTTTATTGATTATGAATGTGAGGACCAGAGAGATTAAACAGCTTGCAAAAGGTGACATAGTAATAAGTGGCAACATTATATTTCTAATTCAGTTTCCCTGACGCTCTGTTTAATGTCCTTTTTTTTTTTTGGTGAGGAACATCAGCCCTGAGCTGACATCTGTTGCCAATCTTCCTCTTTTTGCTTGAGGAAAAAGATCGGGCCTGAGCTAACATCTGTGCCCATCTTCCTCTATTTTGTATGTGGGACGCCGCCACAGCCTGGCTTGATGAGCAGTGTGTAGGTCCATGCCTGAGATCGGAACCAGTGAAGTCCGGACCACCGAAGCAGAGTGCGCGAACTTAACCACTACGCCACCGGGCCAGCCCCTAATGTTCTTTTCATCATGCTGTACCACAAAGAACTTCAGGCACGCTACTATATACAGTACTGTATGTAACAAATCAATAAAAAGAGGATATGCTCCCAGGCACTAAGTACTACAATTTAAAAGGAAACACGATGTTTACACAAAAACAAAACAGGAAGAACAAATGAAATTAAGAGAACCAACAGAAACCTTAGTCAAACTGCTAAAAACACATACACATTCTTAATATTCACTTTCAAACATAAAAAGGCCATTTTTAAGCTGTTTATATATGATTGAGCAAGAAGCACGCAAAGACATCGTATGTTAGTAATTGATCAGAATTGTGCTTGTTTTTAAAATCTTTGTATGCGTAAAGAGAATTTAATAAATTTGAAATCTGTAGATGTTTGTATTTATTTTACAAAAAGCAATAATAATATCTTAATATATTTTAAAAAGTTAACTAATACAAAGAAATTTAGACAGTTTAGAAGGGAAATTTAAGCTATTAAAGACATATTCAATTGAGACAAAGACATACTCCTTCTCCAACTCCTTGGCATTTCTCATCTTCTCTAGGTCTATTTTCACCAGTTTTGTTTTGAGATCTTCAATTTCTTCTTTATAGGGCTTAGCTCCTAAAGCAACTTTCTCCTAAATTTTTTACAGAAAAGAAAAATAAAGTAATTTTAGACCAGTTTCAAAGACTTGTTAACTGCCTTGATCTGGTAGGAACATTTTAAAACAGCAAACTCCAAATATATGAAAAGCAGGAAAGGCACAAATTTTAACCCTAAAATGAATAACAAATAGATATTTGATGTGAAGTATATTTAAGCTATTGGAAGCTAATGTGAATTAGAAAACCTATGACT